CGGTACTCTCCATTGATGGCTTGGCCCTTTTGAAGATAATAAACAATTACATAAAATAAACTCAGGCCTTAGACCTTAGTCTTCTTTGGAGCTGGTGAGGAGGAGAGTTTCCACTACAGGGATTGTCTCTGTCACTGGCTCAAAGCGATGTTAACATCTGACAATTCAAAGAAGATTTTAAAAGTAACTAGTAGCGACTTCTATTGAAAATCGACAACATTTGACATCGTAGTGTTATCAAAACTGCATAAAAAAATTATTATTACGGTGTATTAAATGTATTTGCGTTTTTTAACGACCTCGGTTCTAAAGCATGTTTAATTTAAACATTTCATGTCTTTCTATGATTACACTGTTATTATTAGTCTTCATCGTCCAAAACGTCTCCACCTCCTTGTGGGTGATGAATATTTTCCCAGCTTACCCCTTTCTCATAGACGAGACGTTGCAAGCCTCTCACTGCTCTATCTCTAATTCCATGGAAGGTATTCAAATGAATGACATTCTTAAAGGCTAATTCCATGGGTGAGATGTAAATTCCACTCGAGCAGCTTCTTTCGAGCTGGTTTGAGAAATCGACTCCCAAGAGGGTGCTTCCCTGATTATAACAATCTTAACCTGTTTACGTCTAAGGTCAACCGTTATCTTCCTCATATTCCCATAAACTATAACTCTTATTCTTTAACCCTCTACCTTGACTGCCTCCCAAAGCCTTGTACAGGGTGATCTTCATTGTAAAAAAAAAAAGTGTGTATCAAAATTATTCTGTTTTGGGTTTGTTTGTTTTTTTACTGATATTGATGCCAAAGGTTATTTTATGTACATATCCAGACTAAAACTCCGCTATTAGTATCGAGGAGATTAGAAAAAGACGAGTGCGTATCAAAGGCTTCGTTCATTTTATTCTTTAAACTGACCTTGATGCCAAATTTTATTCCCAAAGAAAGACTATCGATGAGTTCACTAAATTATAATTATTTAAAGAGAAAGAGAGAGACGCCCACCATCAAATTAACACTGAAGTACAAATACACGAAGCCCAATCTACCCATCACGTCACCCAGTCTGATAAGTGTATACTAGGGACATGCATCACAGCCAAATGATAATTTTTGATAAAACCAGTATTTAATCTTTCAGCTTGGGCCCAGCTGGAAATAAGTTTTCGTCTGAAACTAACCAGTCCTCTCAGATGGTATCCGATCAAGGGTGTCTCCAAGAGGAAGACACGTCCTCATCTGACGCCGTTTTCTATTTTAAACTTCCTTGTTGTTTACTCGTTCTGTCCATGGAATTGTCAATAATTCTCTGTTAAAAGGCTTCCCTGATATTTGAATTTTTTTTGTGTCTTGCTGATGGCCATGCTTTTCGGCCATCTTAATTCGCGTCCTGGGTAAGATGATAAACTCCGTCTAACAGCAAGACCTCTGATCAGGATGTTTGGAAGAGCGTGGGACCACCTTTTAATTGCTGGTATTCCCGGATGCGCCCTAACCCGGGGTGGTGGCACCTGTTAGGGTCCCAGCTATGGGGTGATTGTTAACCATCAAACAGGAGTCAAAACACTATGAAAGTGTAAAAATAGGTTTTAATACCAGCAATGGATTTTTTGAGGAAAAATTATTACCAGCAATATATTTTTGAAGGAAATAAATCTTACCAGAAATACATTTTTGGAAAACATATTACCAGTAATAGGACAAACAGTAGCAGAACAAACACGAAGATTAAAGGATTAAAAGTTACTTTGAGTATGAAAGATAGGAAGTTGTGGATAGCCATGAACACTCATATTCTAAAGATATATTATAACAGGGCACTGATCATGTTTAAATGTTTAATTGCTTTAAATTACAAAATGATGATTTGCAGGGAGAATATTAATTGGATAATAATTATTAAAGTAGAGTAGGTTGAAGGGTTGAGAAAAAAAGGAAAAAACAAAACGGGTTAAAAATTATATTTTAAAACAATAAAATTAATTTAAGAACAATTCCAAGGAGAATTAAATCCAGAATTAATTAGCCAAGTTACAAAACCAAGTTTCCCACCCTATCCAATTTCCTGATGATAAGAAGACATGATTAATGTGCTGTCCTAATTTTACTGGTCCTGAGAAATTAAATTTAGGGGTTGGTTTACATTCATGGTATCTGTCCAAAATGTGTGTTCTTACAGAAAGGAGTGACCCAATTTATTGTAGACAAAGAAAGGCATGTTTTTTGCTTAATTCCCAAGCTTGCTATTTGTTTGTGCTGATGATGTGCACCCCCAAATCACCAGTATCTTTATAGAAAGTGATAACAGAAAATTCTAAAGACAAATGTAAAGGCCGTGTGTTTATTAACAGACCTCCTAAGATTAAGATAGTCAGGGTGGAAAAATTAGATATATCAGAGTTGCCTGAGATTGCTTTGTAAGAGTGTCATTGCTAAAGAATATACCTGCAATTCCTGTGCCCAGAGCAGAAACATAGACACATGCATGACAGAAAAATTAAGTGCGAGTCAATTAGCAGGTTGTAATTTAGCATCTCCTACTAGATTTCTCAAATCACCAGTTGTAGAAAAGTTGATTTTGTGGTAAATTAAAATTCCACCAACTTTATATTTATACCAGTTAAAAGCAGGACTCCTTGGAGAATTTAAATCATCAATTTGTTTTTGTCAAACAGAAACACCATTTACCAAAGATAATCTGTAAATCATAAAATAAAAATGCAATAAAACTATATTAATTAGAAAAGCTTTAAGGACACTATTATCTTGAGAAAAAAACGTTTTTCAATGAATAATGTTTTTTTATAATAATTGTTTTCATTTTTTTTTTAATTTTAATTATAATTTATCATAATTTAAAAATTGTTAAATTTATAAAGTTTTAAATATTAAAGGTTTATGTGACACAATACTGTCAACCTGGGGTCAACTCCCAGTCACGGCATGAAGGTGTGATACTTCTACCAGCGTTTTGGGGTTGACTCTTAGTCGCTGCCACTAATATGTGACCCAGTCAATCGGCAGGATCCTTTGGTCAGAGTACCAAATGGGATGGTCAGCCAATTCTAACGACTTAACACCAGATGCAACTGGTCTGACACCAGCTCTGTCGTTCTCAGTTCCAATGGCTGGTTACCGAAGTAACTACTTCAATTTCAAGTCTAACCTACCCACGTTGTGATTTGATCTTAGATAGACAAGATCAATCAGGCATCGGGGACGTAGTGCAAGATGAATCTAAACTGGGGGTGACGACGCACAAGTGTAAATAAAAAAGAAATAAATAAAAACCAAAAAGATTTGGTTATGTTGAAAGAAAGCAAATCAACTTTTATCAGTCTGTTCTATATAGGAGTATGTGTTTTTCCCAACCTGTTTCTTGGAGAGTGACATTTTCATACTTCTAGTCTTCTAAGTCAACTGGTTTAGTTTTTAGGTGCTGGCTTAGCTTCGTTTGTCAGTATAACTTGCTGTTTTGTAGGAAGGCAAATTTGAAGATAGGAATTGTGGAATCTCTTGGTCAGCTTCTGCGAGGCAACTCAGGTTCCTGCTAATGAACTGACTCCAACTCCAACTGCCTGGAACTGAACTGAAACTAACTCATGCGAACCAAGGGCGCTCTTTTATATGGACATCGACCAAAAATTGGTGTGGGGTTAGACACAGCCTGGGGTTCTTAGTAATTCCCGATTTCTGACAAGGGACCTCTTTGTTGTCCGGCTAGGAAAACTGATTACTTCCCATTTTGGAAAATTAATTACTTTCCATATTTGGGGGGATCCCTTCGTCCGTAAGGAGAGGTTGCAGGGTAGCTATCCTCCTAAACTCCCTCCTTCTCACATTGGTAACTCATACCAAATCCTTTCAGTGGGCGTTAATAATTTCTGTCTTTCTTACCAATTTACCTCCTCCTATCACCATTGCTACTACTCAACAAATGGCATCTCGGTCGTGTGGGTGTGGCTAAGCTTGCTTCATTAATTAACCCTTTGACCTCCCTGTTTATTCAGGATTTCTGAATTCAGAATTATCAACGTTGTTTATGAAATTCACTTTTTCGACTTACAAACAACACATGGCCCCCGTGGCTTAGCCAACTTCTAAAATCTGGCAATTTCGAACAATATCTCAGAGGCTCTTTGGCTATTTCGTGTTTTCTTTATAATTATCATAAATCAATTGTCAAAAGCTCGCCACATGGCTTTTTGTTAATTTATCATTTACGCCAATCCTCAGTTTCTTGGGAAAGTAAAAAAAAAAATAAATAAAATCTTTCCATTTTTCTATGCCAAATATTCTTACAAACAACATGGTTTCATCGCCTGGTCGACTTCTAAAATCTTGTAATTTTGAATATCTTGTTCTTGAGCTTTCTTTAACCAGTACTTTTACAAACATCATTAACCATCAAAAGCTCGCATATCCAAGACCAGATATGGCAGTAATATTCAATGCATAGACGAATGGTTGCTTTATGTAGAAAGTAATACGACTGCTCATATGAAAGTTAAACTATTTTATTTGTAAAACATTCCTGATGTTTGCTTTCCATTGCTTAAGTAATTTTATCAAGAATTGACAATAATTTAAAAACAAAAAACAAAACCAATAAAGCAAAGGAAGAAAAAATCAGATGAACAAGTGACTTTAATTTCAGAAAAAGTAAAAAATTTTCAATGGCAAGGAATTAAAAATTAAAAAATTAAAAAATGATTTCAGCTAGCATCTATTACCAATTTACATGGTAGATATGTGGGCTGTCTAGTTTCAGTTCATCTAACATACATATATAGTCTTTCTGGCTTGGAGCCAGGTGTGAAATGGTGTCAAGCTTGGCACGAGGGTTGACTCCAAGTTGATGTCTGATGACGACACGGCACATTTCCATCAATGACCGAGGGTTTTTGCGAGCATTTTGCAGAACATCTAGTATTTGCGTTTTGAGATCACCTCTTACCATTGACTGCATTTCAGTAGAGGTTTGAAGAAGATGTTCAATACTGAGTACCAGTCGAGTAGGCATACGAAGGTAGCACTTTAGAAGCAATTTCAGGAGGTCGACATTCTTGTTGGTGGCGGCAAGAAAGAGTGGCTCCCGAGCAAAATAAGGACGTTCATCATCGTTATGATAACAATGCAGTGGGTGGGAAATGTTTGTCTGGGAATTAAGGTCACATCCATAGAGCAGCAACAGTTTGACCATGTTGAATGTGTCAAGCGAACAAGCCAGTTGAATTGGAGTCATCCTGAAACTGTTAACCTGTAATTCAAAAGATAAAATACCAAGATCAATAAATCAAATCTTTATAAAAACAATAGGGTTCTTGTAATGCCAACTCACTCAAATGTTCATCAAATCTATTTTTGCAATGTGAGATCTGTTCAGTAAATATCTGGCCATAAACAAAAGCTCAACTGGAGAAAAGCTGCCTGAGTTCTCTTCAATGTAGCTTCCTTGAGACCTCATATGTATATCGCAGCATCACCTTCCACTTTTCAAAACAGTCTGTAAAGTCTTTATAATCTTCTTAACCTTATCTATGACCCAATCTACCTTTCAATGCTGTTTTTATTTTTGGGGAAAGGTTAAGAATCACAGGGAGACAAATTTGAACTGTAATTGGTATATGTAACCGTATATCTTAAAATATTGGAAACCTGACTAATTCCAATTCACCCCTACCCTTGTTTTATTAGGATATAGGTGCCAGACTCTACCCCCAACCTGTTCATGACAATATAACAAATCTACAACAATGACATTTTTTTCTATTTTTACATCCAGTCATTTTTTTACCTCCCTTGGACCTGTAATGGTTTACTGACTACACAAATACAACAGTTTTAATTTTTAATTTGTAATCAATTTTTTTTCCCCTTATACTTTTTTTACTACCCTCACATGTAACTCACCAGCATCGCATTTAACACACTTCTGTGCAACTTTATTTTTTGCACTACGTAGCAGTTAAACTCCCATGAGCAATTTGTTTACTTCCAGCAACATCCCATGCCCGATGAGCTGGGAACCACCCAGAGAAACTATAGTCACATACCAATACATAGGTACACGTATATGCACTAATTAATATATATAAACATAAAAATGTCTTAAAAATAATTGTCGGACTTTGTTCATTTCATAATGTGTGACGTCATTTGTTTACATTTGGATACGCATTGAGCAGATATGAATGTACATGAGAGAATTATGGAAGATTGAAGTATAAAGACAGTAAATTCAACTTTGCTTATTGAACGATTCTATGTGGCTCAATCGGTAAAGAGCACATCAGGCTAAATGACGGTTCCGTATAGGATACAGGTTCGAATCCTGTCGGAAAACGAATATTTTCTATGAAAATTTCTCGGACATTCAGGCCGGTAAATGTTGTTTAATACTGTTTATTATAAACAGAGCATTTACTTAAATATTTGTATCTATAAAAAGAATGTATAAACATAAAAATGTCTTTATATGACATTATATATTGTGACTAATCACATGTATGTTGCCAAGTGGTTAGAATGCTCACTTACTGACCATAAGACCTGGGTTTGAATCTCACGATGGTCAATTTATCAAAGAGGTGACTTCTTAATGTTATCGTCCAGGGGAGGCAATCCCAACATGCAGCCCCATTGGAAAGTGCCTGAAAACTATACCACAGGTTGACTCAAGCCTTGTGAGTGAAATTGGGTAGATGGAACTATTTGAGAGCCATCAATGGTTGTGTTAGGGCAAAGTCACGAAGTCATCGTGACTGAGAGTTTGAGTGTACTGACCTTATTCAGACTGTTGATCATACCAGATAATGCACTCTCCCAGAAACTGTAACTAAGATCTGCTCAGCATAGTTACAGTATAAACCACAGGTGGGTTCTATGGGTGTTGAACAAACAAAAATGTGTCTGAGCAGTCGTCTGCAACAGGGATTGGCTAGCTGCCCTAGTAGACAGACATACTCAGTTACGAGTAGCCAGCCACCACCATTAATCCCCTTGGAGGGTCTTTTTAGGCATATGCAGTAAGATACCCTCTCCTCTGATTGGTTACCAAGTTACATGAAGGTTGCACATTCAGTTTTTGAGATATCAAATATGATTGGATTTTTTTTTGTGTACAATTTGTAGATATGCTCATTGGATTAAACCAAATTTGCTAAAAGGTCATTTAAGTGTCTAATAAGAATAAACCTCGTCAGCAATGGTTTGCAAAAGTAACAGTATCTACTACTTTTGCAAATCATTATTAGTGGTTTTTATCAGTAGTGGATAATTCATTTTTTTGCAAAGAAAGAATGACTTAACGTCTCATTTGAAGGACACATGAGTACAGTGATATTAACGTGATATTAAAAAAAAAAAAGCATAATATTGTAGATTAACATTCGTCCGACCTTCCTCAACATACAACTATAATAACAAAAGAGAGCAAGAGTAGGCTTAAGGAAGCTTTATTCTGCTTAGAATAATTGATAAAAGTGTAGTGACTATTTATAGTCCTCTACAAACAAACAAGTTCTCTAAAGGGAGGTAATCATAAAACAAGAGAGATTACTCTTGATTACTTCATCACATTGACATTTGTCAGGATTAAAAAAATATTCAGTTTCTTTTATCATTTTAGAAGGGGGAGGTCCTGTTCATAATATAAATACAGTGACAAATTGATTCCTGATTTTTAAAAAAAAGTTAGCTGCATTTGTTTTTTATTTACATCTCCATTCTTCACCTCCTTAACTCTCTATTTACAGTCCTAAGAATAATTCATATCAAGAAGAGGGAATTTTTAAATTTAAATGAATTAATAAAAGTATATATATATATATATATATATATATATATATATATACACATTTATTCTTCTTTCAAAATAAATAAGTATATATAAATCTGTATTCAAAAAAAAAAAAAAAATACATACATCTGTATGCAAAAAAAAAAAAAAAGTTTCCCCAGAACATTTAAGAATTGGAGGAGAAGAAAAATCACTAATGGTAGGATTCATTTGAGATACTGTATATACTCATGCGACTTTTGAAGACCTAATTTTGAAGTTAATTTTAAGGAGGTCACATCATATACAAGATATAAAATTATGTACCAATGACGAAACTATCCATTTACTGTAGTCAAAAAGTACAGCTGTATTTAAAATAAACATGATTTTGATAAAACTGATATTTTACTTAACTGTATCCAATAATAATGCCTGTAATATTTGCTTATTATTATCATTATAAAATACAAACAGAGCAAATATGCATCTTTTCCATTGTTTACATTTATAAAATGTTTAGCTGTTTCTTGTTCAGTTGTTTATGGCTGTACGCGTTTATGCAACAAATATAATGTTGATAATGATACTTTTATCACTCTCTTACTTCTTTAACTTATTTGGCTGTTCACTTCATCAAAATGAACTTCCATTTAGAGCAGTTTTTAAGTACTTTAACAGATGATGGGATAAAGAGATAGAGGAAAAGATGTTAGTCTATTGTAATTTGGTTTCTCAAAGAAGTAACTCACATAATACACAAGATACATTTTTATAATTGAAAATTTGGTGGTTGTACGATACATGAGTATATACAGTAAATAATTATTAGCTTCCTGTCTTTGTACAAGTTCCTCACCCCACCAAAAAAAATTGTTGACTGATTCATTTTCTATGTTATTTAAAGCCAGAAAATATTTTAAATTGTAAGCATGGGGGGGGGGAGATAACAATGGTTTGTGATACAAGTCTTACTAATTAGTAGTTAGTAAGACCATTATTATACTATAACTAGGGGGAGAAGAAGTGGATTCATACCTTTCCTAAGTGGATTTGTACATGAGTGAATATAATGAATCTAACAGGAATTGGAACTCAGCTCTCTGATTAACAGTTACAAAACAATTATCCATTACACCACCTACAGATCCAAGCTTACAGTAAATGGTGCTCACAAGTGGTCACCCATTTAGGTACTGACCATAGTCGATGTTGCTTAACTTTGGTGATTGTACAGTAACTGATGTTTTAATGTGACTTAGCTGTAAGGCGAAAAAATGTGTAAATAAAAACAAATTACATATAACACTTTAAAAAGTCATGGATCAATTTAACAGTGTATTTATATTAACAGGATCTCACCTTCTAAAATGATATTCTCCGATTCTGAGAAATGTCAAGAATAAGGGAAGGTCTAATGAATGAGTTATCTCCCTTACACTGACAATTTTATATTTGAAACCGAAAAACGTAATAAGAATAAGGATTTAAGAAAATTTGTTATAATCTCTTCCACATTAGAACAATGGGATAATTTTTATTTTCCAGTAAATGTTCGCCTATCGCCAGGTTCATACTCCTCGCCAGTTTTTTGAACAGGAGAAGAGTTTGTCCCTTGATTCCTGTTTAGGAATGGGTTTCTGTTTCCATCTAAAGTCTTCTCATTCTCTTTCCCTCCTAATAGCCCCCTTGCATCTTAGTGGCATTATCACCTTGCTTGGGGTGAAGTGATAAATAACAAATAAATGTAGGTATTTAGTAACTTAGTGGCAGAAAACGAAAATACCCAGACACTCAGTGAGGATCAGACTCACTTGAAAGTGTTCATTAATTATCAGATTAATCTTACAAGCTGTTTCTAGTGAGTCTATACCATAGTTGGTGATCAATGAGAGTGACCTTGTGCCAAAATTTATTTAACTCAAGAAATATCAACAATTTATTGTTAAATAGAGTAATAACAAAATTTCATTTTCTGGAGAGTGGTTTACCCAAATGTTCACTCACCCATCTCTTCTCTAACAACTAGTGTGGCATGCCAATGAAACGTTTTTTTGTAAAAGTAACTGATAAGGGATGGGCCACAAAACAAATGAGTAAGTACTAGAGGAGATGGTAATAGAAAAGCAACTAGTCACACCCATAAGGAAGTGAACACTGCAATACTCTGACCATGTCATCAGAGCCTCAAGACCTCTGTACCTACATCCAAGAGAGATGTACTGATGGCAGGAAGACCAAGGAAAATGCTAGACTGATGATATCAGAGATTGGACAAGAAGAACACTGTCGTTGGTGAGGGAGAGCATTGGTGCAATTGTCCATGGTTCTTGACTGTCAGCAATGTGGATATGAAGAAGCAAATTGATGATGGGATGGAGCACAGGGAAAAATAGCTTTAAGCCTTTTGCAAAGACACAAGCCAAAAGTGAACATCAGCTAAAATTTGAACTGTTTACAGATTCTATTTTACATACATTTACTGTTGTTCTGACGTTTTGTTATTGTTTGAGATTATTGTTAAAATGATATGGTGCTAGAGTTTAAAAATTAGTAATTATTTCATGACAGTCACTAAGTAAATTATCACAAAAACAATTTTGGAACATTACCAAAATGACAGAAAGCTGTTGATTTGTTTGCAGGACTTATGAAAATGGAAAATATATAAAAGAGAAATTTAAAAATCACCTGATTACAGTTCCAGCCACCTTCAATGAGCTTTTGGGCCACTGCCAAATGACCATACTCTACAGCAGTGTGCAGTGGGTCAACCAAAGATCTGCAGCGTTTTTCACACCGAGGTTGTGCCAAGAGCAACTCTACAATCTCGTCATCACCTTTCTCACAGGCCAGCAGTAAAGGTGTCTGACCAGTGGTGTTGGGTTTGTTTAATTCACAACCTGAATGAAATACATAAAAATAAAAAGAGACATTTAAATTTGTTTTTATATTTCAACATTTGCTGACATTTCAATAGGGGTCCAAGTCCCACTTCAAGTTCATGTCTTTAAATGTTTTTTATAGAGTTAATATAAAACTTGATTTTTTTTTTTAGCCACTTATATTGGAAGGTGTCAAGGGGAGATAAATCTTGTATTTAAATTGAGTAATTTTATTTAAACCACTTCTGGTTTGCTAAGCCAATTAAAACTTCACCAGGGTCTTGTCAGCTATACATTTTAGGAATTGATATATACTGGCATCAGCTTGGCTATTTTTCTTTCTCTGAGAGCAGAGAGTCTAGTCTACCCTACTATTTTATTCATAGCTGAGAGCATAGCTGAAACTGAGGAAAATTGAAAAATTTCATACAATGAGAGCTCTCCGCTTAGATAGCTTTGTAAAGTGTCCCTCATTCATGTTGGCTGTCTTCTCTATAGCAGCAATTGTCAAAGTGTTTTTGGTATATTGGAGGCCACTGGTTCGTGGTCTTCTCAATAACACCACAAACATGATAGTCAAGTGTTCTCAAATTGGGAGAGCCAGGTGGCCAAATGTTGGAGATAAATGGATTATGAAAATTTTCAGCTTCAGCCAAGTGAAATAGGGCAGGTTGATTTTGGAACTGTTGTATTGCACACAATTTGAAAGTTAGGGTTTAAATAATGACAGAAAATATTTTTTCCAAATCATTGCCGTTTTTTGAGGAAACGAATTTAAAGATTGAGTTTAGGTTCAAAATTTCATTCTGGTGATCAGTGAAAGATTTAAAATTGTCAAAAATTTCCATACACTTATAGAAAACAAATGAGTAAATGTCATTTAATAAAATGTTTTCCAATTGTGACATTTATCTTGTTCTCAATAAATCATAGAAAAATAAATTAAAATTATGAATAACATAAAAATATTCACTTTATAATTGTAAAATGGAGATTAAATACAATGTTTGGGTTGTGTCAGTGATGAATATCAATTTCCTTTTTTTCTCATATGAAATTTAGGTTTTGCTATTTTTCAGTGGGAATAAATAGACTAGTTCTAAAAAAAAAAAAAAAATTTTAAATTAAAAAAATAATAAAACAACATCATAAAAAAAGAAATTTATTCATTTTAATCAACAGTAGTAAAATTACTGTGATATTTTCCTTCATATTTATCATGTATGCTAGATTTGTTTTTAAATGTAAACACATTTAAAAATTTCTGGTTCTCATTGAAGAAAGGAAATATTTAAAAGCTCAGAGAGAAAACCAGACCAAAAGGCAGTTTCCAATTTAGAAATATTGACAAAGATGACAAATATAGTAACAACAGGATTCTACAGATATTGCCTCTACATTGGATATTTTTCCACCAATGTTCTCCAGTAAAGAAATAACTGATAACAGTTTTGAGACCGGGAGACAGTCTAAGGGAACATACAGTCTTTTAAAAGTTCCTAGATATGCCATGGAACTTATTACGGGTGATGTATCTTCCAACCTTGGGACATGGCTTACTAACACCTTTTTATTAGACCTACAAGATATGGGCTTTCTTCTTTAACTTAAAGGACATTATCAGCGATAATTCAAAAAATAGACATGGAAAAGGTTAGAGTAAAAGTAACCACCTATTAGAAGCATGTTCCAAACCATGAAAATATCATCTGTATTGGTGTTGATTGCAAAGTTGATAAGAACTCTTTGCAATACAAAGAGATTACAGAGGAAAATGGTGAAAAAAAAAAAAAAAAAAAAAAATTAAGAAACCCAAAAGACCAGAGTTTCACTTGACTTTTACCAGAGATGGACATGGAAAGTAGATGTCTCACCAACAGAGTTTTCTCTAACATTGGTGCAAATGGTGTTCAAGCAGAGGATGTTGCTGCAGTTTTAGTTATGGCTCTGGAGAAAAGAAAATTGCACACCATTGGCTGTTCACTTCATCAAAATGAACTTCCATTTAGAGCTGTTTTTAAGTACACTGATGGAACTACAAGAAGCCCTACTACTTTTATTGGGAAATTTTGCAGAAATGATTACCAAGATTGCCCCAGGTAGAATTTCACACTATCAGTAAACCTCTGGATAACTTCTGTCTTACTGCAGGGGCAATCAAAGATTTAAGTGGTGACCAGAGGTTGCTCTTAGAATATGCAGGAGGAATTTCTTGAGGGAAAATGAACCCTAGATTTTTTGCTTGGAAAATTGGGTCTTTAAATCAAGCAAGATGGCTAACTTTAGCTATCAAATTAATGTGTTTATGAACCAGAGATGCCTATCTACCAGGACTCTATGATAAATTGTACCGCCTTATGAAATGTATAATTATAATATATACAGTTAGTTGGTTTAAAATTACAAGGAATAATAAATTCCGTAACAACTGTATATCTTCAACATGATCCAGAGAAGAAATCATTAGTCAACCAAAATACAGAATATTGCATTAAAAATTTACATCAGAAAAATTTTTTTTTTGTTTCAGAAGTAGCAAGCCACCAGATTAAATATTGCCAGGTTAATGTTCTCAATACATCTGAAAGAGAAATGAAAATATGTCAACAAATACTTAGCAAACTCTGTATAGGTGCTGAAAAGTTCTCAGTCTGGCACTAGCCAAAAAATACAGTGTCAGGCTAAAGACTTTTAGCACAACTCCCTAATATATAAACGAATATAAAATGTGCGGATTCACTATTTTGCACTTCTTTAAACTGACATGTGAATATGAAGAAAAATGGTAAGACAATTACGAACCAGATTCAATAAAAAGTCGAACAGCTTTAATGTTGTGGGCTGCTATGGCAACATGGAGAGGGGTCATTTTTTCATTTTTTTCCTGTAAGTTGATGTCAGCACCTTGTTTGACAAGATACTCAGTGATCTAAAAGAAACAGAAAGATTAGTGTTATTTTTGAAATTGTAAAGTTCTACCTTAGCAATTTACTGAAAAACTGACCACCACAACAATGATAAAAAGTAAAGCAGACATTTTACAAGATGGAGGATTTGAATCTTTGCATTACAGAAGACATTAAATAACACATCTATGAAATTCTTTTCTAAATAGCCTTCTTTAAGTCAATTTGTGTCAACCTGATGTTAATTTCTATTGTGTTGAAAAGCATGTAGTATCAGTTATTAACCAAGTGAGTACAAAATTCGTAAACAATATTTTGCTGAACTTGAAATAAAGTCAACTTTAAGAAATTGCATAAAATATTAAGTCTTTAATGATATTCTACAGATAAAATGTAACCGAGATTAAAATTAATGAAAGCAGTAGTGGCAGACAATGAAATCTAATTTCTCATGAAGATACTCACAGTGAAATTGGAAGATGAAATGGTGGGCCACAGTACAGTTTCTCCTTTATCGTTTTGCGTATTTATATCACAACCTGGAGAAAGATAAAAAAAAAAAAATATTGAACAATGTTAAATAATAACATTACTTAATGGCATCAATTTAAGAGGAAGAGATTTGCTTCATTTACTTGACTATCTTAAATAAAAATCAAATTTTAAAAAAAATTCTTAGATTTCTTTTTTTAATTATTTGAAGAGACTGATTTCATCTTTTTTTGTTTTCATTCTATCAGTTGAACAACAATCATAAACTGAAGAATGTATTTAAGATTAGTGTTGAACTATTTTGATGATGATAAAAGCAGTAGAGATATGTTGATTAAAAAACTTAAAGACAACAATAGTATCATAAACAACATTGGCGTTGAACATGAGTAAAAGGAATTTTTATATAACAAAATTATAAAATATAAAATAGTTTTATATTTTATAATTTTACATTTTAAGCTCTACATACTATTGAGCATTTTTACTGTACATTTTATAAAAGTTATCAGTTACTAACTATAAGTATACTTAAAACTCTCTCTCTCATATATTATTATTAGTATATATATATATATATATATATATATATATATATATATATATATATAGTGTATATTTAGGCAGCAATTTTTTCATTGATGGCTTATGTAAGCGAAACTTAGATCAGATTTAAACATGTATCAATATGGTGATTTCAATGATAATGTTATTAAGCTTATCAGACAATATGAAAGGAACTTACTTAAAATAAATAGACAATGTGTCTATATTATTTAATGAAACATGCATCAATATATATATATATATATATATATATATATATATATATGTGTCATTCGCAGACAGTACTATTTTGCTGTATCACATGCCTCAAGCCCAGATTGAAATGGCCTACAACTTGAGGGTTGACAGACTGGGATGCAAGTACCAAAAAGACTTATACTAAAAAGGCCAAAGTTACTGAATCTTATCATCACCTTTCTCACAGACCAGCAGAAATTGACTTTCTTCTTATTAGTAACCAAAGATCATCTTATTCTTATTTTAAAAGTTGGTCAAAAAGATGCAAGTCACAAAATACAGAATTTAGTAATGCTAGGCTTTTAACTGTAGCTCAATTTGATAATGTCATTTTCTCTTGGACCACAGAGATATTTTGGGGGAATGAATTCAAGTGAACATTAAACTGCCTAGCATTGTTTACAACATTAAACAAAATCAAGCAAACCAAAAAACTGAATGCTGACATTTTTGTCAACATGAGAATTTTCAGAACATATACATATATAAGATTTTCATTATCTCCAAGAGTTATTGGTGGGAAAGAATGAAGGCTAAATTGGCCAACATTGTCTATGATATTAAACAAAATTACATAAGCCTAAGGTTTAAATACTGATTGATACAACAGAAAACTTACCTAATTCTATAAAAAGTTTAACCAATTCAAAACTGTTACCATATGCAGCAGCATGTAGCACAGTGTCTCCATTACTATCAACTGCATTAATGTCAGCACCATGCTCCAACAATAGCTTAGAGAGTTCTGCAAAAGAAATTAAAGGAGTTACAAAAGATAAGAGAATGGCTTTGCTTTCATCATTTCTACAGAGTTATAGGAAAAAAACATGTTAAGTTTCAATTTAAATAAATTAGCATTATCATTGATTTTTATTAGTAGTATATATTTAAATCTTGACCTCTGATAATCCCTTTGTTCCTGATTTCCAATGCATTCCTATAGTAAACTCATTAACAATGCATTTACATTATACATATAATAGCCCTATTCTATCAGTAATGCTTGCCTTCATTCCTGACCACTGACAATCCCTTTCTTCCTCATTTGCAATGCATTCTTATAGTAAAATCATTAGCAATGCATTTGTAACAATGCATGTAAAATGATGAGACCTTGCTGCCAATTTAGTACTGTATTTAAATTCATAAAGTCTAGGTATGATAACAAAGAGTTCAGCCCAACAATTACCATGAAAGTATTTATAGAAAAAGGCATTTTATTTCTTTTATAAATGGCTGGGCATGTCTACCTGATTTCATTTAGTTTCTTTATACTTTATTTTTTATTATTAAAGAAACTGTTAGCATAGAATTTACAGTTCCATCTAGCCATTTCAACTGTAAAATGATGAGACCTTGCTGCCAATCTAGTACTGTATTTAAATTCATAAAGTCTAGGTATGATAGCAAAGAGTTCAGTCCAACAATTACCATGAAAGTATTTATAGAAAAGGTATTTGATTTCTTTTATAAATGGCTGGGCATGTCTAGCTGATTCCATTCAGTTTTCTTTATACTTTTCTTTTTTATTATTAAAGAAACTGTTAGCATAGAATTTACAGTTCCATCTAGCCATTTCAACTGTAAAATGATGAGACCTTGCTGCCAATCTAGTACTGTATTTAAATTCATAAAGTCTAGGTATGATAGCAAAGAGTTCAGTCCAACAATTACCATGAAAGTATTTATAGAAAAGGTATTTGATTTCTTTTATAAATGGCTGGGCATGTCTAGCTGATTCCATTCAGTTTCTTTATACTTTTCTTTTTTATTATTAAAGAAACTGTTAGCATAGAATTTACAGTTCCATCTAGCCATTTCAACTGTAAAATGATGAGACCTTGCTGCCAATCTAGTACTGTGCTTAAATTCATAAAGTCTATGTACCAAAGAGGAAAGTTCATCAGAAGTATTTATAGAAAAGAAACAGGGAAGATGTTATGGTGGTGGGAAACTGACTAAAGCCAAAATGCCAGGGTAGGACTAATAACATTGCAGATTCTTCGTTGGATTTCATCAAAAATCTCTCAATATGTAACAGAAGCACCAGACAAGACCAGACCAAATGTGGCAGCAGTATTCAAAGCAAGGAGAAATAGTAGACTGATAAAATGTGAGAGTTTCTTGCATAAAAAATTGACTAGCACGACACCATGAACCAACTTTCTTAGCAGCATGCGTAGCATTTGATACACTATAATCTTTCCGCTTTATGTCAGCAGTGAACATATTTATGACATTTACACATATTCTTAAAAGGTGACATTTCAATACAGGGTGCGATGGGTAAATTGTCGCCATTTTATATTTTTTATTTCATGCATGCACATTGTTTGATTTTGTTGACTCTACAGTTTAGTAAGCTTAGTTAAGCACCATTTGTGAGTAAAAGAGCACCATGACACAAAACCCTCTGCCAGAAATTTGGAAATGAGATGCTTGGCATTCACACCAGAAGCTCTCATACAAACATTTCAGAGTGTTTGGGTGTTAATCTGAGGACAGTGCAGAGGTTTTGGAAAGAGTCGGATGAGTCTAATGATGATTACAAATGATACGGCAGCTCAGAAAACTCAATCTGATCATTGTGATGAGAAAAGAACTCCTGAAAATTGTTGGTGAGGCCCTCAAATTCAACACGGAAGCCTACATCTAACTCCCCAGACTGCAACCCCCTTGATTATTACATGTGGGCTGCAGTTGAACAAGAGATCAACAAAACTCCTTGTAACATCAAAGATGAACTGAAGGCAAGGATTATGGCAGCATTCACCAATTTAAACAAGGAGACCATCCAGATGAGTTGCAGGAGATTAAGAAATTATCTGGAGGACATGGTTGAAGCCAATGGTGATTTTATTCATTAAATTTACTCTTTAGTGTTTCAAGATATTTTTGTGTAATTTTGGTAAATATATCTGTTAAAATGAGATGTCAGTGTTATTTTCATTTTTGTGTAATCTACATACATACTATATATCTTACTATATAATTTGTGTGTAGATTGTTTTTACTTTTAATATAAAAACATTTAAAATTCACAGAGATGAGATGCATTTTCATCATTTGATGCTCTTATTTCCAGAACGTAAAAAATGGTGTACAAACAGTAAAAAAGATATATGTTGGTTATGGAGATGGTGCCATAGCTGAGAGGACTACATTCCTTAGTTCCACCAGTTCTAACCTTCATGGCTTGAACCCACCCACATTTCCTCCATATTCCATTGGGGATAAATAAGTTCCACTCAAGCAGCTTCTTCACTGCTCTGTGGAACTGACTCCTAAGAGGATGCTTTCCCGATCACTATAATCTTAAGTTGTTCAAGACTAGAGTTAACCATTATCTTCCCTACATATCTGCATAAGCTGTGCCTCTTACTCTGTAACCCTCTACCTCAAGTGGCTCCCGGGCCTTGTACAGCGGGAATCTCATTGTATAATAAAAAAAAAAAAAAAGGTGATGCTGTGTATTTGGTGGGATTATGCAGCAGTGGTGGGGCAGCTGTTATGCATTACAAACTCCTGCAAATTCAGATACTAATTTCAGAAAAATATCGTTTCCAGTTGAACTGACTAAAAACAGCAACTGATAAAAAAATGGTTAGAATTAGTCAACCAGAAGAGAACCAACATCCATTAGAACAACACCAAACCTTTGCAGACTTGGCAAAAATCAGTACAGTTTGGCTGGGATGTCATACCACTCATCATAGTCACCTGACCTTGCACCTTCAGATTATCACTTCTGTAGAAGCCTATAAAAACCATTTAATCCAGTTCAACACCCAGAAAAAATGTCAACTTCTGGGGGTTATAAAGTTGCCTCAAAGATGACAAAAGACAGTTGAACAAAAGTCACTCAATTTTGTTCTTTCATCCTAACCAAGGGAAAACGATTTAATATTGAAGCCCATACACATATATTTCTTTCATTCTGATCCGAGGCAGCCTATCAAATGATGGCAAAACATGTAATCAAATCAATGAAGCAATTTTTCACTTCATCTAATTTATTAAACTTTGGATTCTATATCCTATTAATACACATGTACAAATATTATTTTGAAATTCACAAAGACATGAATTTTTGTTCCAATCCAATATATTTTTTAAAGTAATTGGATCCAAGATTAATTCCAATAAAATAAATAACCAAAAACTTGTTATAAAGAAAATTAAAGTACATCTTCAACAAAAAATTAAAATCATGATCATTTGTATGTGTGCTTATACAGAGCATGGCAGAAATATCTCCCACATAATGGTAAGACTTTAACTAGATGAAGACAACATTGTCATTAATGTCTTACCATTGTGGGAGGTATTTCTGTCACATAGTGTATTAATACTATGTATATATTAACTATTTCATTTATGTGTATGTTATTTTTATTTACCATAATCTCCACCCATAGCACTTTGATGGAGGGGGCTTATTCCTGAGTAGTCAGCTAGATTGACATCACAATTCAGCTCCAGCAATCTGTTCACCAACAACCTTGGATTTTCTTGCTGGCTGAAGTACACTGTCACTGCAATTAAACACAAAGAAGAAAAAAAAAAAGAAAGTATTTTATTAAAACTATAATTATATGTATGTAAATTTATTGAAGGAGGGAGAATCAACAAATCTATCCTGACATTACTGGAATTTCAATCTAAAACTTTTGGCAATGTTTAACCTTTGTGACACAAAAAAAAAAAAAAACAACAAACAAAAACAGTGTGTCAGAAGGATGTTTATTCCCTTGGCACCACTTACTATATAGACTTTTGACTCCTTTAACAATATTTGTTTTTAAAAAAGCAATGATTAGAATTTTAATAAAATCCAAACACATGAAAATGGATTTATACATTTTCTTTATTCTAGAGAAATGACAAAGATATTAAATACTATTTATTAGATTGAATAAAAAAATTGTTTTCAGAGTTATTTATATGATAAATAATAAATGTTGCATTGTAGTTGGTTTACATATTTTAATAATTTTGTATTTTTTATAAATTTTTGAGCAAAAAGATTTTTCAAATGTATTTCTTTATAAAAGGTAAATAACAAATATCACATTGTACTTGGTTCACATATTTTTATAAATCTTGTAAATAAACATTACTGAGGAAGTCAAAAATGTATACAGTAATAGTGGTGTCAAACGAATAACTGTCCTTTTGTTTTTTTTGTGGAAACAAAGGTTAAATATTGCCAAACTTTCATTGTATAATGTTCAATTCATCTGATAAATATTCATCACTGAAAAAAATGCAGATGACGAAGAATATTAGGTTGAAAAATAAATATTTATATATAAAGGCTTTTTTATCATCATGCTGTGAAATTATTGATGTATACATACATATACACACACACATACATACATACATATTTTAAAGAAAAACAAACCACTTTAAGGTACCATTATAATAATTTATTTCACTAGAGCCCTTTTAAAGGACGCCAGATCATCAGATAGTACTATCCGGCATCCTTTAAAAGGGTTCTGGTGAAATAAATTATTATAATGGTACCTTAAAGTGGTCTGTTTTTCTTTCAAATATTAGCTCTGGATTTACATTGAACTCTCAGGATTTCATCCTCCTTGGGATTACCCATACGGATTACCAAGTGTCTCATAACTATATATATATATATATATATATATATATATATATATATATATATATATATATATATACACCATGCATGTTCCCACACAGACCTGCATGCAGGCACTACATAAAACTGCTGATGAAACAGAATGCTTTGCTCATAAATTTTCTCCCAATTCTACTCTTGACTCATCAGGAGGATCTTTGATTTTTCACCAAGAACTGAGTTTTTACTGAGTGATATACATATAACTCCATCCACAGTTTCCGCTATCATCTCCAAACTTGATCCCCACAAGGCATGCAAACTTGCTGGTATCCTTGAGATTGTTCTAAACAAATGTGCTCCTGGACTGGCTCATGTTATCTCTAAACTCTACAACAAATGCTTTAATGCTTCTTACTTTTCAGCATATCGGAAATCATCTTCTGTAGTTTCTATTTTTAAGAACTCGGGTGAACTGGCTGATCCTTCAAATTACTGACCTATTAATCTACCGCTTTTTGGTAAAATACTAAAGGCTCAAGTCAACTCTGAATTGGTTAAACATCTCACTTTGCACAGTCTTCTTTCAAGACAAATATTATGGCTTATGCTTCTCTAGATGTGTTAACAATTATTACTGAAAAAGTCTGTCAAGTTTTACATAAAAATGGTGAAGCTCAAGCTGTGGCTTTAGATATCACAAAAACATTTGACAAGGTTTGACATGCTAGTCCCTTTCACAAGCTGAAGGGCTATGGTGTATCTGGTCAAATTTTTGATTTGATCCAGTCTTTCTTAACAAATCATTTAATGAAAGTAGTGTTGAATAACCACTCTTCTAGATCCTTTCATATTAAAGCGGGTGTCCCCTAGGGTTATATCCTTAAACCTATTTTTGTTTCTTATTTTCATCAGTGACCCTCCCGATGTCATCATTTCCCAACTTGGTATCTATACTAATGACAACTATTTACTCCTGTCTTAATAGCAAGTTTAATAGGTTTAATAATATAAAATAGGCAGTTGATCTCAAAAATAACCTTCAATCTGTTGTTAACTGGGGAAATAAATAGCTTGTAAATTTTTAATGCCTCCATAACGAAAATGCTGTCTTTTAGTTATCCTAGAGCAGTGGTTCTCAAATGGTGCATCTGCGCACACTGGTGTGTCCTGGAAGATGTCTATGTGCGCCATGGCATTCTAGAGAAATATGTGTCAAGATATAAGAAATAAATATATCTACTTTATTATATAGCGGTACCAAACTCATTGCAGATAGTCCTTAAGGAAAGCATCAATGATAGGAAGCTTTTGTTTTGTTGTATTGAACTGGTAGGAGTTGCTGGTAAGTCCTCCATGCCTAGTCGAGAAAGTTGGTTACTAAAAGATATATTATGTAATATGAAATGATGACGAAGATTAGGATTGTTTATTTAAAGGTTGTCTTATTTATACTTTCATAGTAATTTATTATTTATAATTTATCACTTATTTGTTTATAAGCAAGTGTGATAAATTAGTTATTTTATCATAAACATGTCAATCGGGATTACTTATTCTATGCAGTGAGTGCAGTGCAATGTCATTTCTGAATTTAAATGCAAAAGATTTCAGTCTGTGCTAAAACCATTCTTTTCTTTATTCATTCAAAGAAAACATTTAAAATCTGACTTGGCAACTGAGCAGATTTCTGCCAACCAACCATTAAATATCATTGAAGCATGACTTTTAGATTTTCTAGGGAATTTCATGATAAAACTTTAGAAGGATTTAAATTAGCAATGCTTAATCAAACAGACTGCTGTATAAAATCATTTAATTATAAAAACAGTTCAATTAGCATAACTACATTTTTGTTTTGTTTTTCTCAAATGCTTTTATTTTTAGTGATGGTCTTGTTTTGCACAATTTATCCTCCCCCCACCCACATATATAAAAATAACATTACAGTATTTCTTAAAATTCATATATGGCACTTTTCCTTGGAAATTTGTACATCTCTGCCAACCAAGCATGCATCAGTGTGGCTCTAACAGGTGTTAAAAGTGGAAGTGTTGTGCATACTACTTATTTTCAGATAAATACACCCATAGAAAATGGATAGGTTTTTTAAAAAGAAGTGTGATATTGAAGAATCCGATTTTGGAAGTGTGCAAAACATAAGTGCAAGTAAGAAAGCAAAACCAATGTAATGGATGTAAAATAGCAAATGAATCATTGCTTTCTAGTAAATTGAGCAAACATATAAAAATCAAACACTCTCACTTACAAAATAAATCTACAAATTAGTTACAAACTTACAAAATAAATCTACAAGTTATTTCAAGAGAACAGCAAACAAAAGCTGCTAATTCTTTTAAAAGTATAATGACCGTTTCTTGGAAAGCTCTTATCAAGTCTCAGAAGTGATAGCACAAAATATGAAAAAATTCATACGTTAGGTTAATCACTTATTTTGCCAGCATGCAAAAAAAAATTGTGATGATGTTGGGAAATGAAGCAGCAATGAAAATAAGCAAGATTCCTGTTTAATGATACAGTTCACAGTTATTATTCTAGAAATGTCTTCTGATATTGAGAAAAATGTATGCAGTAATAAACTTCAGTATTCAAATTTTGCATTGCAAATTGATGAGTCAACAGATATTACCGGCAAGGCGCAACTATTAGTATTCATTTGTTTTATTAATGAAGACCTAATATACATCAGTTTCTTTTTGCAAAGAATTAAGTGTGAATACAAAAGGTGAGGACTTTTTTAACATTCTGAATAACTATCTTGCTAAATGGCAATTATCATAGAAGTCGTGTGTAGGCATTTGTACAGATGGGGCCACTTCCATGGTAGGTTGTATAAAGGGTGTTACATCTTTTGTAAAAAAACAAAATGCAAATGTTATCGTAACTCACTGCTTTCTTCATAGTAAAACATTGGGAAAAAATTACGAGAAATTTTAGATCAAAATTGTTCAGAAGGTAAATTTTATTAAAACAAGACCTGTCAAATCACGTTTATTCAAACAACTTTGTATCAAAATGTATTCTCAACACAGTTGCTTTTACTCATCGAGGTGAGGTGGCTATCAAGGGGGGAAAGTATTTACTCATGTACACGATTTACGACAAGAACTTATTGCATTTTTTGAAGAGATGAAACAATTACATTATTGCGACTACCTTTGGTGTTAATTTTGGATTGCCAGGTTACAGTATTTGGCCAATATATTTCAGCAGCTCAATATTTTGAATAGTAGCATGTAAGGGAAAGAAGAAAATATTTTCACATCTAACAAAATGAAAGCATTTCAGAGAAAACTACAGATTTGGAAAAGAAAAGCTGTTGAAGGTAATTTGAAAATGTTTCTATTGGTAAGTAACACTTGCATAAATGAAATATTTCCAATAATTGTTGAACATTTAACAAGTCTGGAGGAAAAATGGAGTTTTTATTTTCCATCACTTAACATTGAACAATACAATTGGGTTAGAAATCCATCATAGACACTTCAAGTGATTTTGGTTTAACATTAACTGAAGAAAAAGAACTGGCAGCTATATCCACTGATCATGGGTTGATGATTAAACATAATGAATTGTCTTTTGAAGCTTTTTGGATTTCTATAAAAGAAGAATATGTGTCAATATCTAAAAAGCTCTGATCATTTTACTACAGTTTGCAACATCATATTTATGTGAATTAGGCTTTTCTGCTCTCACCACAATTAAGTGAAAAAAGAGAGGAATTCTTCAATGTATTGATGAGGAAATGAGAGTTTGCCATTCAAATATACAACCAAATATTGAAGAAATTGCTAAGACTTATCAGGTGCATGCTTCTCATAAACAAAAGAATGAATAAACTTAAGGTATGTTTCATTTTTTTTATTTTATTGCATTATTCCTTTTCTGCAATATTTGACTTCATTATAACATATTTTTCCGAAATTTGTATATAGTGTCCCTATAATTATTGGTAGGATTTCAAGTTCACCCCGACTATATTTGAGAACCACTGCCCGAGAGAACTATTTTTGCCATCTATCAACATGGCTGCTGACTACCTCCAGGAGAGCAACTCATTGTATGTCGTTGATTTACACTGAAATAAAGTGGAATGATTATAGCGAATCAACAATTTTCTATTTAATGCTATTAATATTTAAATTATTTTAATTTTGGATTAATTTAGGTGTTATATATTTTAAATAAGAGAAGGTTATGAATTTATGTTTTATTTTAATTTTTTTAACATTTTTATAGTCATGTATGTTGGCTTGGGAAAGTAGTAATTCTTTTGGAAGAGGATAGTATTTATGAAAAAAATAAGCAAACATAAGGTCATAGACGAGACACAAAGATTTAAAACCAAAACCAAGAAATTATTAAAAAATGAAGACAGTTCCTGGTTAAAACTCATCAAGCATCACCTGAAAAAAAAAACATACTTTATAGATTACCAAAAATACATAATCCAGATATCCTAATGAGACCCACTTCCTCAGGAATAGGTTTGCACACCATTAGCCAAAATTTTAACCCCACATCTTGACACTATTAGCTCTATACATATAAAAAAAAAATTTGGTGATCTTTTAGACAAATAAAAAAAAAAAAACAGACATCAAAAACAAATATATGACCAATTTAGATATAAAATCTTTATATACAAATGATAAAATACTTTACCATAAAATTCTTCTTATTTTAGATACATAGATTTCACAAAATATAGTTTTACCCAGTCTGGTCAACAAATATATATATATATATATATATATAATTAAACAAGAGAATCCTTTACACTTACACTGGCTTATTGCAGTAAGCATGGGGCTGACTCCCTGCCGGTCACATAAATCCACATTGCATCCCGAATCTAACAAACAGAAGGCCACATCTATATGGTTCTTTCTGATTGCTTCTACAAATAAAGTTGTCAGGGGGGAAAAAATTATACATTTAGATTAAAAAATAATCTACAATTGAATCAAAGGCAAAAAAAAAAAACAAAAAAAAACAAAAAAAAAAAACAACACACACACACACACAAGATGAGAAACCAGGTTTTTCTTGAATCTACCTTCTATTTCTTGAAAGGTATGAAATATCCTACCTATTAATCAAAAGGCAATGAAAATACATTCTTCTTTGCAATCTATTAGTCAATAAAATTACTAGCAGGCTTTGCCTGCTCACTATTGCTTCACAGAGTAAGATATATTCACAACTTGAAATATTTGAAACAAAAATTTTACATGAACATTTCATTCATAAATTGGCTTGTTATAGTTAAGGAAAGTTTTACAAATAGATGCCAACTTGTTGAAGGCCAAGTAATGAAGTAATTAATGAAATATACTTTTTTAAAATCAATATGCAAATTAGTTAAACCTAAAGAGTGATATCACCTAGAAGTAGATAATATATAATACAGATATTGAGCTTTTAGTGTATAAATTCCTCCTTGGAGGAGTTTCTAACACAGACTTATCATCTCCCAGTTGCATCTCTGTCTTTGGGCAGAGTGCGCTCAGGGACTTCTATGTCAAAGGACAGAGGGGCAACTGAGAAAATTATACTGAGAGGTGCCCAGCACTGGGGAACACCTGCCCAAGGCAGTGCCCTCCCATTGCACCAGAAGGAGGGAAAACATTAATTGAATACTTAAATGCAGTGATCAATTTTGAGTTCTTCTGTAGTTTATTGATGGCTATCACATCCCCCTCCATAGCTATTGTGATGATGGCCAAACCAAGAGTCCTCCACAAGAGCTAGCTTAAATGCCACCCGATAGGACGGCTTTTAAGCTGGTTTATAATAAAATGTGCACTGCAATTTTGGATCCAAAAGGAAAATAAGAGTTGCTCCTTTTGAACCATGAAAGCAACGATGATGGCTAGTATAATATATTAATATATATTTTTAACCTCGCATAATCTGGCAACCCTGAATCTGAGATCAACGAAAATTGTTCCCCATGCCTAACTTTTTCATGGCTTTTGAATGAGCTATGAATCATTGAAATCAGGCCAGTGGGAGTGGAGGAGTTGCTTGGATACACATACACTGTACTTTATATACAAGATTACTATAAACATTATTTTAGTAGGTATACTTGTTTGAGTAGACAATCTTTGTTTATTTACAAACTGTGGAATTAATGTCTACCAGCCTAGATCATAAAAAGTTTTATTAAAGTGAATGTGCCTCTCATTCCAACAAACAGGACTTGTCAAATTGTGGGTGAACTTCTTATAAGAGCCAACTTGTATATATGTGTTTGTGTGTGTGTGTAAGCCTAAGATTGGGTCTCAAGATGGGGTTTTGATAAAAACAGTGTACTTGTTAGACTAACATGAGTTTGGCATCAGGAAGAGCATCCATCCTTGTAAAACCTTGCCTCAAATTATTGACAAATCTTCTGTCAGTTAGGGTTCACTTTTCTTTGTGCGAGATTAATCCCAATCCTTCCTCAACAAAAAAAACATGACTATGTATGTATCTATGTGTTTCCTTTTTTCTGGGAAACATCTTTTAGTCAGGCTTGTTGCTACTGCTTTGCCCATAGAGGTCCTTAGAGAAAGGCACTGCTCAATTATGCTTTTTAAAGAAAAATGTGCATCATTGGAATTTTTCAGCATCCAAAAAAATGGTTTCCCAAAAAAAAAAAAAAAAAAAAAAAAAGAAAAAAAAAAGGGGAACACAGGTTTGATTCCTGTTGAGTGGTACATCATTTTTCTTTACTAAGACTTTCAATGATATAGGGTGACAGACTCGAAAAATGATCCTCTATTTCTTGGCCATACTAGCATCTATATATTTTTATAATGCAAAATGAATGAAAATAATTCGAAAATTATGCTTCTGGAGGTAATATTTAATCAACAAATAAGAATATGTGGTGAACAGTGATTTCTTGAGATGTACGAAATATCTCGAGAGACATGGGAAACATCTGTTCAGTTATCACTTGACAGATGGATAGACTGATAAATCTTATTTCTTGTGCTGTATGAAATGGGAATGTATGCATAGCATAGAAGTCATCAACATAGAAATTGGAATCAACATGACAAGTTCAAATTCTGCCCTAGTCTTGCATTCACTTTTGCACACATACCCTTGGGAAAGGTATGAATCCATATCTTCTCCCATCAGCTGTGGGTTAAATAGCAGGGTAGACCTGGTTTACTAGCCTTGGTTGACAACCAGTCTCATTGAAGGACAACTTTGAATTCAAAACTGGTTTGGCATAGGATAGGTAACACCACCCTATGAAAACCCACTTGCTATGGGAACCACAGTAGCAACACCTAATGGGGTGAGGATGTGGCCTTATATTCCAGTCTAATGGCATTAAGGAAGAGTAGGAGGAATTCAGAGGAAAATCAATTTTGCAATACATGTTGTATGGATATAAAGTGAAGGATCAAATTTTTATCACAATTAACTTATAAAATGACCCCCTATTTCCTGGCCAAACTAGGGCCTATATATTTTTATAATCCAGAGAGGATGAAAGTAACTCTGAAAATCATGCATGCATAGCTAATCTATACCAAATTCCACCCCTCTTAGTGCAATAGGGAAGATACTACCATAGGGTTGGAATCTCCAGGACCTAATACCTTCTCCCATCTAAAATGAGTAGAACATATTGTTCCACTTCCTGCCAAAAGCAAACTCCTGTGACAGCTAGGGGTGAAACAAATTTGCATGTTCTTTGAGCTTCTTCCAGTAGAGAGGACATTTTTCTTCTTAAAAAAAATAAACACTAAAACAGCATGCAACACGAGAACATTATGGTCAACAAAGTTGCCATTTTCATCTGTACAGTTTCACAACTTTCCAATGGAAAAAACAGAGAGATTTAAGTATTTAACATGTTAAGACTCACACTAACAAAACTAGTTTTTCCATTGTAAAAACCTATTCTGACTTTATATATTACAAATACCTTAAAAATGAATTCGTTTTCAATTATGCTCACAACAACCTTGTAGTAGCATATTGTTGTGACCTAGGAAGGGTTACTGAATGAGGAATAACCAAAATGGAGGTTGAAAATGAAATGGTAATCTTTATAACATCAACAAAATACAATACTCACCAGCAGAGTGAAGTAGGTAAATCACCACTAGTGGTGGACTATTTAGACAGTATATTACCCCCTCACTTACAATAGTGTCCAACGTATTTATGAGGATTGGGACATATTCATTAGTGTTCATAGGTACTGTATATAACACACATACATTTTTAAAAATAAAGCAGAAGCAAAAAGTATCAATATAATTAACTTTACCAGTGAGACAAGTTAGCTTTTTAAGCGTTCTAATATCAGGGTCTGCACCAGCTTCTAACAAAGTTTCAACAACGTCTCGGTAACCTTCAGATACAGCATAAAACAATGCTGTGCAACCATAACGATCCCTTTTAGTAATTTCAGCACCTGGACAAAAAAACAGCAAAAAGAAAACAAGAAATTAAAAACAAAAAAAATTAAAATTTGGGAAGGAAGGAAATATTTTTTTTATTATTTGGTCAATCTAGCTTGGACATTCATGAGTATCATGCCAATCATCATGGTCCTGCATCAAGGTTGGAAGATCATTAGGGTAACATTGTGTCATAATATAACTGGTCAATGTAGAGGGTTGCTGGGTGACCATCCCGTGTTGCAGCATGTCTTGGTGTCAATGGCATTACATGATAAACTATGTAGTTGGCTTTTACACCAACTTCATGAGCATAATACTCTTGAAAGGAAATAAGACATGCACATAAGATAAATAAAACAATTTTGCTGTATATCTGTAGTGAACCCATAAATGAATGTCCTCAAAGTCAAACTGTGTCATGCGTGTGGTTTTCAAAGGAAGAGTGTAAAAAGCGGCAAGAAAAAATACGATAACAACAAATGATTACCTGAGTAAACAATGTCCCATGTGTTGGCCTGTCCAAAAAAAAAAAATGACACACACAACCTGCATAAACTTTTGTTGTCAGCATGAATCTTGAAGGTTATGTAAATTCCGAATGAGATTTGCATTGCACAATGCAAATTAGGTTCTATAAAATGGGTATCTTGATTGCAATCAAGGAGTTTGTCTATTAGTTGTTAAGTTGCATGGAGGACAAGTTCTTGAGACATGCAACTGCTGGATTGAATTTTATCCACAACAAAATTCTACTACAATAACTGTGTCAATAAATTTGTCCATTTGATAGTAATGCTTGAACTAATTTAAATTGTTGCTCAAGTATTGGCTGGAGAATGCAAGGAAAATTTTTTTAAAATTTAATACTTGTTACATATTTGTTTAACTTAAGCAAACTTGTCTTTGTCAACAGTTGCAATATACCAACATTAGGCTTATCTTCTCTCTAAGTCAAATAACTGAAACTGTATGGTATCATAGAATTATGAACACATTCCTAAACAAGATATCATAATTTACTACCTTTATTTCAGAACTGATCTCTGGTAAGATCTGAAACTGATCTAATTTCAAATGATATAATCTACCATAGTCACACACACAATTTCAGATGGAGTATATTTGTAAAAGAACAATATGAATAAAGACAAAAGGAAAACTTATCCTTAATAAAGGAGGAAGAAACATGTTGAAAATATATATATATATATATATATATATATATATATATATATATATATATATATATGGTTGAAAATAAATGTGTACCAGTTTTAATTTTTTAAAATTGAGCAATCAGATAATACCACATTATTTATTTGTAACACATTAAATGTATACAAGCCTGTTTGTTTTGACAAATCATTCTCTATATGTCAAAGCTTAACTGTTGACTGGAGATTGTGAAGCTATATTATGCTAATTATAAGAGTGCAGCAACAGTGAGAGTTTATAAAAACAAGAAACAATTTAAAACAGGATCCTTTTGCTCTATCAACAATTACTCGTTTGATAGAAAAGTTTTAAACCACAAAGACACTGCATGATATCCTTTCAAATGGGAGATATTCCTTAGAAGCTGAGCACACACCTCAAGTTATGGATAGTCTGTCAATAATTTGATCAAACATGCAAACTTGGTTATACAACAAAATGGAGGAACAATTGAAAATTTATTGTAGTTTCATAAATCTCATTTAATACCGATTTGCTTCAAAATATATGTTGTTGTTTTCACAATTGCTTACTTTGCATTATAATGGTTTTAAAACTGGCATTCATTTATTTTTGCCCTGCATATATATGAAGGACTCTCCCTGTTGATTTTCAACACATGAGGGTCCAGTAGCTCAGTTTTTAGAATCTTAGAACCAAACAGCCATACTACCCACACATATTTTATTATTATGGTGAAAACTGACCACACTTTTTGGAAGAGGTGAATACAGAGAACTGGTACACAGCATGACACAAGGACCCCAAACGCCTCCTCAGGTTTTGAAATCAGAATTGTCCTTCTCCAAGACCAGTTGCCACTCAAGACTATAGGATCCAATCTACCCTGCTATTTTACCCATAACTGGAGGAAAAAAAAAAGATGGATTCATACATTTTCTAAGGCAAAATAAGTGCATGTTGCACATAAGTGAATGTAATGAACTCAACTGGAATTTAAACTTGGCTCTCCAATTCAATCAGAGCTGCTATCCATTACTCAACCGTGCCTCCTCTTAATCTATCTCATTATATATATATATATATATATATATATATATATATATATATATGTATGTATGTATGACCTGTTCCATTTACAATAGTGAAAAGGTATGACCATCTTGAATGCTATTTGCTTGCATGTGTATTCAATATTTGTTTTATATATATATATATATATATATATATATATATATATATATATATATATATATATATATATGGGTGTGTGGTCAAATTGTTTAATATTCTAACAATTCCAATCATGAAACCTGGTTTAAATCTCACCATGGTCAATTTGCCATGGTGATAATATCAACCTAGGGAGTTAACTCCACTGTGGTACTATTGAAAACCCAAACCCTGTGAGTGAAACAGGGTATATAAAACTGTTTGAAAGTCATAAGTGGTTATGTGAGCACAAAGTCACAAGTCATTGTGACCGAGAGTTTAAGTGTACTGGTCTTCTTCAACTGATGATCACTTCATATGATGCATTCTCTTCCAGAAACTTATCTCTTCTCTTAGATCAGTATAATTGCAGTATAAACCACAGGTTAACTCCGTAGATGTTGAAGAAACACAAATGGGCTTGAGGTGATGTCTGCAATAGAAATTAGCTAACCACTCTAGTGGAAACGAACAGAGAGCCATTATTATTATCTTGATGTCACTATAACATGATGTACACAAGGTTAATAGGAATGGTTGCAAAAATATTTGCTCTAAGAAGTCTGTAATAAATTCTCTTAAAGTTTGAACTATAGGAAAAAAATCTGATTTAACACTAATTAAGATAATTTGAACATTATAAATAGTACAATATGTGCAGTAAATTTGTTATTCATAATTTCTATACTTTACTCATAAGATAGAGGAAGTTTTACAAAGATAAAATACTACCCTGTGTGCTATGATCCTTAAAGATGTGGGCGATCATGATTCTCCATATTTTATTTTAAATGTGAAGTCAAAAACAGTTACTAAATACAATATATACTAAACAAGATTGTAAAAATCAAGAGTAAGTATAAAGACAGTAGTTTCTGTCATAATAGACTATTTTACACTTTATTGTTACTAGTTTAGTGCCCTGCTCTGTTGATAGGAAGATGATCAAATTTCATATTTAAATTGGAGTATTTTAAATGGACAATCTAACATTACAAAAAAAAAAAAAAAAAAAAAAAAATTTAAAAAGATCAATGTAGGTTGGTTTTCATGCCTTTCCTAAAAACATTAATACAAAAAGAGATCATTCAGATCTCATCAGTTTGATTTTTTTAATTACAACATTATGCCCTGACTTACCTCCCTTGATTATTGATATTAAAAATAAACTTCAGTCAATTTTTATATTGTGTATTGGGCACTACTTAAATAGATTGGTCCATTCATTAAAAATATTTTAGATCTTCCTTAGGCTGTGACACTTGTCAGAATTGAAAAATATTGATTTTTTTTATCGATTTAGAAAAGGAAGGCCTGTTTATAACATCAATACAGTATCAAATCAGTCCCTGATTTTTATAGAATTATTGAACTTTGCCGTTTTGCATACAAAAACAAACTGGTGGGTACCAACAATTTTTTTTTAAATAATAAACAAATATATAAACATCTTTAATTAAAATAAAATTATGTATATGTTTATTCTTAATTTGACATAAATAATTATTAACCTCAAATGTTAGTACATGTGCTTCCAAAAAATCCCATATAGAAAAATGATTTTTTAAAAAAAGGTTAAAAATTCAGAAAATTTTTAAAAAATATGCAGATATCAATGTCACCACACTTCCAAACTTGATATTTGTGTGTAACAGTTAAAAATTCAATAACTCTCTAAAAGTCAGGAATCAATTTGACACTGTATTGATATTATAAACAGCTATCTCCCTTTAAATTGATCAATATTTTTTTTATTCTGACAAGTGTCATGGCCTAAGAAGGGTCTAAAAAATGTTAATGTATAAAAATTATTTCCAAAGATAATTTTTCCTATCTTTTTACAAGTAGTATATGTATTGCCATGATTATCAGTCTTCCTATATGACAGTGAATGCTAGACAATTAGCTTACAGATGAAGACAGAGATGTGGTGTGACAGAAGGATGCTGATAATATCATGGACAGAGCATGTGAGTAATGAGGAAGATTTAAAGAAAAATGAAAACAAAAAGAATGCTTATACTTAGAATCAGAAAGACCTGTATGACCACCAAAAGTTAAGCAATGTTGCATCTGATCAGTACCTCAATGAATAACTGCTTGGGAATACCAGGTGCTATAAACTTGGATGTGCAGATGGTATATTGGATAATGGTTTGGAATTGTTAATCAGAGAACTGAGTTCCAATTGTGATTTGGTTTGTTATATGTGCAAATACCCTTGGGAAAGGTATGGATCCATCTCTTCTCTCTCCATCTATGGGTTAATTAGTAAGACTTGTATCATTAAACCATTGTTATCACAAAAAAATTACAATCTAAAAATATTTTCTGGCTTTAAATAATCTGCAATGGGTTGATAAGCCAAAGAAAACAAATCAATCAATTAGAATCAGAAAGAGACTGTTGACATTTCTTGAAGACACAATGAGGAAAGAAGGCTGGGAAAATTTGTCACTCACTGGACAAGTTTGACAAAGTAACAGTGAGCAACCTACAACATGAGCCTCTGTAAATGGATGGCAGAACAGGGAACAAAGTATAGGAAGTTGTGGAGAGCCATGATCCCCTAGCTAATGAGTGTGTGTAAATTGGTGGCAGAATAAGGAATTGGAGGGACAAA